ACTTTGCCAAGAAAACCTCAAATGGGATCATGAAGAGTCGGACATGACTAAAATAACTGAACAACAAGTTTGTGACCCTAGCCTGAGGATAATTAACCTGAGCTCTGTGACTTTGTTGTTTTTTTTTTTAAATTTTGATAACTGTATTTTTTAAAAAATTGATTTCCTTTGGAATATTATGTACTTTAGTTTATACATTTAAAAACACTGTTCTAAAAAGAGGTCCATGGGTTTCACCAGTATGCTGAAAGTGTTTGTGATATAAACAAAGGTGAAGACCCCACCTTCCCAGATCCAGAATGCTACAGTGCCTCTCTCTGGAATAATAAGGACTGTTCTGCATGTACAATGATAGAAAGAGGCACATTTGGCTTTATTTAAGTTCATCATTGATGAAATAGTTCCAAATAGCAATTATCCCAAACAACCAACCTATTTATATTCAGTAGATGAGTACTTCCTTTGTGGTTGCAAAGGTATGCAGAGTTCTGCATTTCTGTCCATATTAGTCATGAGCAGAGAAGGACAAGGTATTTTCCTAAAAGGAATTGTTAGTTTTGTTTACCCGAGGGAAAGGAGAAGACTGTAGAAGTTAAAATGACTCTGGATACACTAGAAATGAAAACAAAAATGTTATAGCAAGGTAATCTGATGATTACTTCACTCAGTTTAAAAAAAAAAAATCAACCTTAATAAGTACCTGCTTCCCAGAAGACCAATTCTTTCTATTGCTTCCGTGACTGCATTTGTACCCCCTGAAGTTTCGGATGGCTCAGATACAACACTGGCTATGGAAAGGTCAGGAGGAGGCACCTGAGATTGGAGAAGTTCATTAACAGAGTACAGAAACTAAATTTCAGAAACATCAGTGACTATTCTTAAAGGCATATAGATAAAAAATGATAAATTTAATTTTTAGTAGGAAATGAGAATAAGAAACATTTCAGGTGCACATTAGGTCAATAAAATACTAATACAATGTACAAATTTTCTATTTCTTCTGATTGCTGAGTGACATTTAATACAATTCTATTCAACGAGCATTTATTATGTACTGTGCCACGTATTGTTAGTAGGTACTGTAGATATAAAGACAAAAACACATCGGTGTGTGGTCTCATGGGGCTTACATTCTTTCACTGTCAACGTTTTTGAATGAATTATCTAAAGAGAATTCCAATCACATGATTGGTATCATAGGATTTAGGGATAGAAAGGATCAGAAATATCATTTAATCCAATCAACTAATTTTACAGAGAAGGAAACTGAGGTCCAGGGAGGGGAAATGATTTTCTCAAGGTCACAAAGTTAGTCAGTGGCAAAGATGGGATATAAACCTAGGTCATCTGACTCCAAATACAGTGGTCCTTCCTTTGCCCTATTTTTTTAGTCTTTTAAAAAAAAAAATCATCATCCAAACTAAAGATGTGTTCCTTAGGATCTTAATTCTATTCTTTTTTATTTAATTGCATTTCTCTAATCTTCAGAAACACAATAGTTCACTAACAAGATCACCCAGAAACATTGCAGCATGGTGTCTGAAACTGCTGTTATGGTGGCAGAAATGGTTATTAACAGTAATTTACAAATGTCAGTAGATTCTGGGGGAGGCAAGCTAGTTATAAGGAAAGAAACTTTAAGTCAAGTAAAAGGAAGAAACCACTAAAGTATTACTATTAAATGCAGAAACTACTTATATAACGTGCATTAGGATCCTAGTATATCAGAGCTGGTCCAACATTATAATTTTACAGATGAGGAAACTGAGGCCCAAGGAATGGAAGTAACTTGTTCAAGAAAATATGGTGGGTAATTAGCAGAGCTGAGATTTGAACCTAATTATTCTGATTCAAAATTCAGTGTTCTTTTCACCAATAACTAAAATTTCTATTACTTTGGGGGTTTTTTTGGAGGGGGCAGAGTCTATTCAACTTAGCAAAGTTTCAGGAAGGTGTTCTTAACCTGGGTTCCACAGAATCACAAGGGTCAGTGGATAGATTTAGGGGAATATATGAACTTGGATGAGAAAAATTAAAATTTTACTTCAAGATACTTGGTTTCTTTTGTAATACTATTATTTTATTTTACGTATTTGAAGGCATTATTGTGAGAAGGGGTCCACTGGCTTCACCAAATTGCCAATGGCGTTATGAGCCAAAAAAAAAGGTTAAGAACCGTTGGTCCAGGGAGATCTTCCAGGAAGCTGGATCTAGGCTCATATTAAAGAAATCCATGGAAAGAGCAGACTTCAAGTAAAAAGACCTAGGTTCAAGACCCAGCTCTGCCTTTTACTAATGGTGAAACCTTAAGTAAATCACCTAATCTGTTCACGTCTGTTTGTTCATCTCTAAAATGGGAATAATAATATTCATTATTCTTAACTCAAGTATTATTGTGTGGATCAAATAAGACAGTTATAATATAATGGAAAGGACCTGGGACTTTGAGGCAGGAGAGCTGGACCTTAGTTCCAACTCTGACACGTGCTAGCAGTGTTACCATGAGCAAGTTAATTAAGCTCTTGGAGTCCGCTTCCTTCTTTGTTAAATGGTGACAATAAATACTTGTTCTAGCTACTTCACAGGGTTGTTGTGATGAAAACATTTGTATGCCTTAAAGTCACCATCTGCCTTAAAGTCCTATAGCACATAAAATTGTAATTATTATTTATTTGTAATGTTTTAGGAAGGAGCTGAACTAGATGAGCTCTAATGTGCCTTCCAATCCTATCACTCTAGGATTTTAATGAATGTGAAAGCATTTTATACATTATAATATCATAGAAACATAAGCTATTACTTTATTTTATTTTTTATTTTTATTTATTATTTTAATTTTTATTCATATCCTTTAGCTTTGAATCATCTTCCACATTGCCCCCTTCTCCTAGGAGAAGGATCAGAAAGAGACAAAAAAGGCAATTTAGCAAAGTTAACCAACATATCAACTGTGCCTGACAATTTTTGCCATTATCTACATCAAGAGTTCTTCACCTCCGCAAATGAGGGAGTTGTACTTTCTTATCTCTTCTTTGGAACCAAGCTTGGTCATTATAATTACAAAGTGTTCAGCTGCTTTTTTTTTTTTTAATTTTTGCTAGGCAATGGGGTTAAGTGACTTGCCCAGGGTCACACAGCTACTAAGTGTCAAGTGTCTGAGGCTGAATTTGAACTCAGGTGCTCCTGATTCCAGGGCCAGTGCTGTATCCACTGTGCCACTTAGCTGCCTCAATCAGCTGCTTTTTAAAAAATGGTGTTTTTTCCACTGACATTGTTGTAGTAATTACATAGATTGTTTCCTTGGTTCTGCTTATTTTGCTTTGTATCAATTCACATAATTCTTCCTATGCTTCTCTGTATTTTTCATAGTCATCATTTCTTAGTGGTGCAAGAATATTCCATTACATTTATGTACGATTTGTTTAGCCATTCTCCAATCAATGGACACACATATTGTGGTTATTATTATTATTATCACCATCATCATCATCATCCTTATCATTATCATTATACTACCAGGAAACTATAGCCTGGAAAAACTCTGATGTCTGTGTTGGGAAACTGCATATTATGTCTACAGTAAAGTTATAAGCATTCTAAAACCTGTTAATTTTATACTGTACTGGTCTTTCCTTTAGTGTATTCTTTAAATGGATTCAAATCTATTGTCTCTGTTTTGGATCATTAAAGAAGGTTTGAATGACTGCTGCTTAGTGTAAAGATCCTTTATTCATTTAATGATGAAATATACATTTATTAGCCTTTTAAAACAGTCAGGAACTAAAAGGCATGAAATGTCACTGTTTAATCACAATCTACTTATTACTACTAATTTTGTCTCTCATGTGCTCAAGGAAGGATAATCAAGGACCTTTAGACCTTGAATTAAAAAATCTGGCTCCTCAAAAAAACCTCTTGACTTCATGAAAAATTTCTAAAGAGTAGAATTTTTTTTTTAAATTTTTCAGAAGTAGTGCAGGTCACTAATGTGACTACTTAGAAACACCATCCTTTAAAAAAAAATCTAGAGTACTAATCTGTAACGTTCATTCATTCAACAAATATTTATTAAACATCTATATATAATGTAATTTGTTAGTTGCTGGGGGTCATATAACAATAAATAAGGTATGATTTCTGTCTTCAATGAGGTTAGTCTACTAGGAAAAATAAGATATGGACACAGGAAAATGTACAAATTAGAATATGATGAGCACATAAGAGGAGTATCAAGTGCTAGATAAAGTATTTTATTGGTGGTGGTTTATTGAAAATGTAAGGTGCTCTTTTCCTGAAATTTCTATATCTTATTTACTACTTTGCATAGTTTTATACCTTATGTACCTACAGGTACATAAGTATAAAATGGCATGCATTGCCAGAGCTAGCTCAGTGTCTGGGAGGCTCTAACGGAAAGTGTGAGAGAGAAGAGGTATTAGGCTGTCTACCAAAGTGAAAGTCTACAGAGCCATTGTGATGACCTCATTGTTGTATGCCTATGAAACTTGGACAGTATACCAGCACCATGCCACAAAATTGAATCGTTTCCACTTGAGTTATCTTAGTAAGGATTCTGAAGATTACCTGGCAAGATAAGGCATGGGAAACTGAAGTCATTTCTTGAGCTGAACTGGCAAGCATTCAAACTCTGATGGGCTGGCCACATTATTCAAATGCCAAAAGTATGTTTGCCTAAAAGGCTATTTTATGGAGAACTCACACAAGGTAAGCACTTACATGGAGGTCAGAAGAAGCAATACAAGGACACTCTCAAGGTCTCTCTGAAGAACTTTGGAATGACTAATCTGGAAATGTTTTACATAATTGCACATGTATAACCTATATCTGATTGCTTAGCATCTAAGGGAGGGGGGTGAGAAAGAAGGGAGAGAGAGAAGGACGGATAGAATTTGGAACTCAAAACTTTAAATAAAAATGTTTAAAAAATTGGAAAAAAAAATAACTTTGGAATTAATTGTGAAACACGGGAGACACTGGCACAGGATCACCCAGAAAAGCTTGCGTACATCAAAAAAGGTGATATACTCTATGAGCAAAGCAGAATTGCTCAAAAGAGACATGAGGTGCAAATTTCAAGCCATCTCCACTCCAAATGTTCACACAGAATATTTGTGCTTTTGAGCTCACATTGGTCTGATCAGCCACAATCAGACATCCTGTACCTTGACCCAGCCTAATGATGCCATTTTGGTCTTCTTAGAGAAAGAAGGACAACGACCAACCTATAGGTTTGATTTCAAGGAGCTAATTTGAGAAAAATCGTGTGGTATCTAGCATCCCTTAAAGGAACCGCACTTTGTCCATGTGTGTTTCAGTCACTACTTTTTCATAAAGAATGCTTATAATGTTTCCCAGTTCCCCCTTTTTGGTAACACATTTCTAATAAGCTACTCACATAAAGTACTATCCTTTCTTTGCAAAATGCTATAATTAGTCCTTATCACAATTTGGAATAGGTGAAGAGAAGGGAATCATCTGGGGTTGGATAAGTGCTATCATTGACCAAGTTTATCTCAGGTAGAGCATATCATGTTATGTTGATATACTAAACAGAAAAAGTTCATGGGGGAAAAAAGGAGAGGTGAGATGAGAAGGTATGTAATTATTATGATGTGGTAAGTTCTTTTTTTTTTTTTAGGCAATTGGGTTAAGTGACTTGCCCAGGGTCACACAGCTAGTAAGTGACAAGTGTTTGGTCTGAGGCCGGATTTGAACTCAGGTCCTCCTGACTTCAGGGCCGGTGCTCTATCCACTGCGCCACCTACTTGCCCCAGGACGGGGTAAGTTCTAAGAAATCATAAGTTGATTCTAAAGAATAAAATGGAGATGTTGTAAGGGCTATTCTAATTGTTCTACATAGGTATAATTAGTACAGGGAGTATTCCAATGTAAGATTTGAACAAATGCATATCAGTTTTTTGAAGAAGTAGACAGAATGAAGCAGAGGAAAATAATTTTTAACTAGCAGTGAAATACAATTAGAAGAGAAATAGAATGATATTTGGATTCTATATTAAAAATCCTTTAAACAAAAAGATGCAGCTAGAAGAAGATACATGGATTAGGGTAAAATTTGCATTAAATATCTCAAATAAAAGTTGGACAACCAAAATTTATAAGAATTTGATGTACATTTCTAAGATCATGAAATATTCCCAAAAGACAAGAACTCAAAGAATGTGAACAAATAGTTTTCAAAAGAATAAAAACTATCAACAAGCATATGAAAATTTGTTCAAAATCACTAATCAGAGAAATGCAAATTAAAATAACTCAGAAGTACCATTTCACATGCTTCAAATTAGAAAAGATAGGAAAATTTCAATGTTGGAGGGACTGTGGGAAGACAGACATGCTTATTCACTGCTGGTAAAACTGTGATTTGGTCCAAATGTTCTGGAAAACAATTTGGAATTATGCAACAAAAAATGCTAAATTATTGAAACACTTTGACTCAGAAATCCCACCATTGGAATTATACTTCAAGCCAGTTAATGACATCAAGAAAAGGCCCATATGTCCAAATATACTCATAGCTGCATTATTATTTGTAATAACAAAAAGCTTGGGGTGTGGGGGGGAATGCGCCCAACAACTGGGAAATGGCTGAACAAATTATAACATGAGTGTAATGGAATATTACTCTGTTATAAAAGATGACTAATCTGGAGAATTCAGAGAAACAGAGGATATTTATATCAAATGATGAAGAATGAAGAAATAATAGCTAACATAACAACATATCCAGTGACCACAAAATGTAAATAAAGGTAACAAAATAGTCAAAGACAATGGTCAATGTTGGTACCATATTATCAAAGTGAAAACAAGTTGTCTTCCTTTGTGATAACAAGAGGTAAACTGCAAAAATGGAAAGTGATTTGTACTACCAGTACTAATCATGCTGTTAGGCAGTTTTGCTCAGTTATGTTTAAGGAACGTACTCTACGGTGGGTGTTGTTTGGGTATTTGTTGGGAAGTGTAGACTTTATCAAAATAAAATTGTATAGTAAAAAAGAAAGTGGACAAGACAACCAGAGCTGCAAAGTTGGTTGTATCTCCCAGGCCCTCAGAAGTTCAGATGTGTAAGGTGGTTCCAGGGAAAGCCATGTGCTCCAAACTGTTACCATCTTTGAGGTAGGTTGTGTATGTTGCTGTTGGAAGAGTTGGGTGGTGGTAATCGGCAATTAGTGATTTCTTCCCTGGTTACCTACGTGAGGGGCAGTTCCCAGAGTATAATGGAAATCCTGGAAATAAAGAGCACACTGACCCAACTTCCTATTATTTTCTGCCTCACTGATACCTTACATTTATATTGCAACAGGTATTAACAAAGTGCTTTACAAATATTACATCATTTGATCTTCACAACCCTGGGAAGCAGGTAGTACAAGCATCATTCCCATTTTAAAAATGAAGCACCTGAGATTCAAGAGAAGTAGAATGCTTTGTTTAAGGTCACAATGCTAGGAAGCAATGGAGCTGGACTTAATTTAGGCCTCTAAATGCCAAGTCCAGTGTTCTATGTGATACCATGTCTTTTATTTATTCACTATATTTGAAGGGATAAAATTTCACTTACATCAAGGGCAGTAAAAGGGAATTCTTCCACTTCCTTCAGAAGATTAGCCCAAGATTTCACTGGTGGATCCTCCTCTTCCTATTATGAGAGGTCAAAAAGAAGTTCTAGCTAAAGCAAATGTTGTTAGATATAGATTTGGCAATTGGTCTCTTGGAAGAGCAATACCTATTGCAAAGTGATTACAGGAACTTCCCTGTCTTACCTCACCATACTGGCTACCTTGACCTTAGGCCTACATCCTTCTTTTTAAAAATGACAATAGAAAGAATTAAAGAGATGTGTTCAAATCATAATTAGCTTTTCCCCAGGTGACATGGCAGTGCATAGAACACTCAGCTAAGAATCTGGATGCCTGAGTTCAAGTCAGTCCTCTCTACCAATTATTGGTTGTGTGATTTGAGGCAAACTTTCTGTGCATCAGTTTCCTCACCCATGAAACTGGGTAAATCATACCTGCCCTGTCTACCTTGGAGTTATCATAAGGATCAAGTGAAGTAACACAAAGTGATTTGCAAACTATGAAGTGTTATGCAAATGCCAGTTATTGTTATTAATATTAAATCAGAGAAAGCAAGAACTTGCAGGAGAAAGGAAGCAACTGCCTAAAGCATCTGAGGATTTGCCTAAATTGAGCATTCTCTAGAACCTAACACCTTTGAGTTGGGATGTTATCATGTATTCTATTCTAGGTGCCATTAGGAGAATTACCACTTACACCTGTGTTTTGCATAACAGTACACCTATGTTGAATAAAGAAATATTAACTTCTTCTCTCTCCACTGATTTCTGAATGCTTCTGCAACTTATTCAGCTGTCCAACGTACCTTTTGTTGGCTAGCCAGAGTGTCTGCCTTTCTGCTAATGATTTCCTTTTGTAAAGTTTCATTTTCGACTTGTATAGCCCTGAGGACAGCTGAGGCATCTTCTTCAGGATCTTCATCCTTACATATGTTCTTTCGTGTGGCAGATAGAGGCCTCTCTTTTCGGCTTCCTGGTCCTGACAGTAGAAAGTGAGATGACATTCCTTTAGACCACACTGACAGGGAGAAGTACAAATGATATTACATTTGCCCAAACCTCTTCTATACCATCTTGGATATCAAGAGATTCTTTTACTGGAACTCAATTTGAAGCGTTAAGTTAGGTCACATCACTTAACATTTGTTGTCAAAGGCTGATTAATGTAATCACTGAACTTTAAGCTGAAGGGGACCTTGGAGGTCATCTAGTACAACTCACTCATTTTAAAGATGAGGAAACTGAAATCCCGTTAGGTAAAGTGCCAAAGCACAAAGGTAGGACTAGAACCTGTGCCCCTTGACCCCAAGTTCAGTGCTCCTTCCATTATACAACAGTTTTTCCTGTGATAGTATGGACAAATATAGACTTTCCCCCTACCAAGATACTGCTCTGATGTGTCATCGTGGTCCTAAAGTTACTCTGGGTTCTCGAATACTATGCTAGTGTGGTGTAAGTCAAAAACTGCATCTGTCCCCTAAGGACCAGCCTACTAAGTTTGAGAGGGCTCATTGGAAGAAAGTCAGTCCTCGGGTGATTAATGATTTTTGGCTCCAGTTTGTCTCCTGCTGTGTGGGGGAGGTTTCAGTCTATTTTGGTGGAGGGAATATTCACATCAATGAAGTCATGGATTTGTGGAGCACTGAAGTGCGAAGCATAAAGCAACTTCAATATGTTTAGATGCACAACTTGACTCAAGCACCTCTATTACCCATTATGGACCAAACATAAAGGCTGTTCATTAAATAACATGCTCCGATTTGTATCTGTTTGGGTAAGCCATCACAGCAACCAAAGGCGGACAAATCTTGTTGCAGCATTTGAATCTCCCTTTCTGCTCTTGAGTCTTACTGAGATCCAACATGTGGAAGTTAAGCAACTGCAATAGCAAAGAAAAGCATTCTCAGTGGGTGGAGGAATACTGGCATTCTCAAAAGCGTGAAAAAAAAAAATCTAGGATGAGTCTACAGTGGTAGTTTCCAGCACTGCTAGGATAATATGTTTTGAATGGAGATGTTCCCCTCATGAAAAGGATGCCACTCTGCTATGTATGTATGTCTATTCAGTAGGCAATCTATAAGTCTGGTTTAGGGTATTCAAGGGTATTAAGATTTCTTTCTATGTCTGATTATGGGTGGCTTGGTGATTAAAAAATTAGGTAGCATTGTTTTCCATCAGACTCTTGTGTAGTCCTCAGAAAAACTTACCTCCTAAAGTGCTGCTTCTATGATCATAAAAATGAAGAATTGATTGAATGCTCAGTGGGGACAGATATCCAATTCTCTCTAACCCCATTCAATGTCCTTCCTTCTCCTTTAAACATAACAGCCTTCTTTCCTTTCAGAAGCTATTTGACCATCTCCAGGGCTTAGGAATTTAGAAAATAAAACTGCCAGAATGATACTACTATGTCAGACTGATAGGATGACAGTCGGAATTAGCAAACCACTGAATCTATTTACCAGTCGGTCACTGGGACACAGGACGAATATTTTTTACTTTGTATAAATGAGGACTAGCAAAATCTGCAACAGACCTCACAGTGCCCTTGCTGTACAGAATTTTAAAAATGATCCAAAATACCCATTTTTCACTTCTGTCGATAAAGGTATGCAGTGAGAGCGCCCATGAAAAGGCACATGAAACTAGGAGATGATCTGGGTTCTACTCCAAGCTCCGCTATTGATTTGCTGTGTGACTTTGGTCAGAACTCTCCCTCAGCCTCTCTGTATCTCCATGTCTGTAAGCTATAAGATAGGAGGGCTGGACCAGATGATTTCTACGTTTTCCTTCCAGGACTCAGGTTCTAGGATTAAATATGTGTACTGTTCTGTAAAATGAGATGGCTGGACTTTATAGCCCAGCCCTTCCATCTCTGACATTATGTGTTTTTCTGATGAAAATGATGGCTGAGGTTTGGAGGGAATTAGGTAAAGAGAAGACGGATCTTTAACTTCCTGTGTTCACAAGAAAGCAAATCACTAGCGAACAGAATAAGACTTATGATTTTATAATAAGATAATCAGGAACCTAGATTAAATAAAATCTCCTCTGACCTCCAGCCCCTACTAGATAAATACTGTTCTTTAACTCTCACCTTCTTCTTCTTGAATATGCAGCAGACTCTTGCAAGAAAATGGACAACAGATTATTATGATCCAGCAGGATTAGGCCTACGAAGCTGTAGGACATTGGTTTATGTACTCTGGAGTTGGCATGACAGAAATGTTAATGAAATTCAGCCTCATGACAGGGCTTGGCAGTGCTCTCTCAGTGAACCTGAGGAATATTACTTTATTACTTGGATTGGCAGCTTGTCTGGGAAAAGTGGTTCAAATATGTCACTTTCACAGAGCACTTTGACAGCTTGGACAGTAAAGTTTCTGCCATGAGAGACCAATGTCCTTTCACCCTCTCCAGGCTCTCGAGAAGACCACAGGCTTATGAAAAGCTTTTCAAATTCATTTCTTAGAAAGTTCATGAATATATAAATTCTGGTAGTTGAAGCCATAAGGACACGAAACAGGTGGGGCAGTCTTCAGAACCATGGACAGCTGGGATTCAGCATGAGCATTTATCATTATTTTCACTTCATAGGCTAGTATTGCTAATAAATCTATAACATTCCAGTACAAAAGTACAGCTGCTGACACATCAGCTTGGCTGACAAGGACTGGGGCATGCAAATCGACCCTATGGCCTACTTTTGAGGATTATGTAAACTGGGGAAGTATATTGAGAATGTAGCATGTGATATCTACTAACCTAAAGGCAAATGAATTGAACTTTTCTTTTTAAAATTTTTTTTTTTCCTTTTTCTTTCAGTGTTATGGCATCACAGAAAGCAGAAAATGAACATGGTCAATACAAGAAGTAATCAATGTTACTAAGTATTTTTTCCTTCAATACATGTGAAAAGGTTTTGGAAAAAGACTGATATTTGCCAAACTTACAGTAATAATTTGATGTCTAAGCCACCATGGATGTGGAAATATGGTAGTCTAAAGAGAGGCCCAATTTCTCTCCCAAATTCCATTTTTTAATACAAGAATATTTAGCCCCCTGCTTATCTGTAAAGGAAACTTCATCTAAGTCTCTATATTAAGCATCTAATAGTCAAAATTCACTTAATTTTATTCTAATTTTACATGACAATACCAATCTTGTTTTAAAATTTATGTTTTTTTTTAAATTAATAGAACGTCCTAGGCTTACTATGCCTTAGTTGCCTCACATGCAAAATGAAGGCATCAGACTAAATAATCTCTATGATCTTCTCCAGCCTTGAATCCTATGATCTCATGAACTACATCAGCTTTGGTGACCTTGACATTTTTGTGCCATCAAGAAGACACTAACTACATTTAATTCCCCATATTGTTGATTGCCACTGTGATTTTGTCGCCTTCTCTCCATCTTTCTCAGGTCCTGTGGAGGCCCCAACAGGCCTCTTTCATGTGAGCCAAAGTGGCTCCCTTGGTGCTGATTGAGTGTTAACTTGTTCCTGACGTTTGCCGCAAGGCACCACTCTCTTACTCCAGCTCTGACTGCCCTAACTGAGACTGATTTTCAGTGTAAGATCACTGCAAATCCTATGGTGCTAGCAAACATAACAAAATGAGAAGCAGTCACCTTTAGCCAAAGAAAACCTGACTTCTCTCCAAATTTCATGTCCTAAAGTAAGTAGATGAAGGGCAGGGATAAAATCCTGTTAACAAGTAGTGTCAAAACACTAATAGACTTCTTACTTTCATAAAGTTGCTCAGCGAGTCAATAGAAGCTTTCACCTCTAAGCAAGCAAAATAAAATCAATCAGTTCAATATTACAAGAAGCAGACTATGAAAAGAAGATCTGTAAAGAAGATTAATCATATCTCTGGTAAGGAGAGTCAGGAAGGTAGAGAAAGATGCTCTTCAGTAGCGTTTGGTATATAGCGGGTTCAAGTGAAGGAGTACATGGCTCCATAGCCCCACAGCCCCACCTGGATGAAGCCCAGGTTTGGACTGCTTTGAATAATGTTTGGCCCCCTTACTAGAGTAGGATTTTTCTTGGTCCTGTAAAGCAGCACATTGCTGGCGATCTCCTCGACCTTGGGCTGTGTCTGGCTTGGTTGGAATAAAGAGCTCAGCATTCTCCTTGCGCTTGGCAGACAGATTTCTTTCCCTTTTATCTGCAAGAAAACACAAATTGTCAAACAGAAAGAAGTCCTGAATGAAGAATCGGAGGATCTGGTTTTGAGACTTAGGTCTGCCACTTACCAACTGTGTGACCTTGGGTACAAGGTCACCTCTCTGGCCCTCAGTTTCCTCATCTGTAAAACTGGGATAATAATACCTGCACAACTTACCTCCTAGGGTTGTTCTAAGGGTCAAAGGAAATTTTTCACACACACACACACGCACACACACAATTTAATAAACTAGAAAGCACTAGATAAAGTGGAGCTATTGGGAGAAGTAGCTGTGGTGTACAGAAAGTAGTTGTCTCAAAGAAAAAACACTTAGATTCAGGTCCCAGCTCTGACACTCAAGTAGTTGTGTGACTCTACGAAAGTCACTTCTGTTTGCTGAAGAGACCTGCCTCAGATTCCTCACCTGTAAATTGGGGGCAATAATTGTATGACCTACCTCACATGTTTGTTGCAAAGCAAGTGCTTTGTAAAACATTACACATGCAGGGTTATGGAAATGTGAGTTAGTATCATGTACATTTGTCTAATAAGAATATCAACACAACTGGAGTTATGACATGTGCTTTAGGTATCAAACTAAGAAGCCATATCAGAATTCTAGGAAAGTATCAGGTTAATAACTTGAACTGTTTTATGTCCATCTGGTTGGTTTTGAGTTGTGGTGACACAAAAGTCATGACTTGAGTCTGTTCTGACGCTGTCACTTATTGATGTCCATTTTTTACATCACTTTGTGGCATGCTGGGTTTCTGCCTGGTATTCAGGATGCAAGGGGTGGCCCATAATAGACCCAAGATAGCAAGGACTGTGTGTATGCTGAACAAGAAAAAGAACATAGCAAGGCAGAGAACTCCTTGAAATGTGCTCCACCTCTTGACTCTCTCTCTCAACCTCTATGGAGGTTGGAGCCCTCTATCAACCCTTGTTATGATACTAGAACATCTGGCAGTAGAATGCCTGGGGAATTCACTCATCTGGAATTCTGCAGACATCGCAGTCTAGTATTGGACCCATAGGATCAACGGAAGGCTAGCATTAAGTGCTTCAGTAGGCTCCAGGGTTGTGTTCAACTTTGTCCAGATAAAAAAGGCAAGAAACACAAACCTGGGCCTACCCTCTTGCCCCACAAGACTGTCACCACATAAGACCGTTCAGTTCTGTGTCATGTCTACATCATGTGTTTCCTCAAGTGTCAGGCACAGTGATCAGCACACAAGAGTGTTTAACAAATGTTTGCTGAACTGAACTCATCTGAAGGGCCTGATGCCTTAGACTGTCGGACCTAAACTATTGGGCCTGCATGGATTATTATGCTCTCTCTCGAGTCTTTCTCAGAGAAGGCCCAGAGCCAGAAGGGCCATTTCAGACCAGTCTTGAGCTAGGCCAGAACTGTATTTGTATGTGGGCATGAGGGTTCGGGAACACTTGGCTACATTCTCTTCCACATTAGCCTTTCTTGGGTCCATTGGCAGAGACTTAAAGGATGGTGCCCTTTCCAGTGAGAGCCAGCTCCTCCTCCTGACTGAGGTTAAACAGCTCAGCATGCTGCTGCTGATCAAAGGCACTGGAGCTAGAAGGCAGCGGGAGGCATCGCAACTCCACAGGCACCAGGGCTCCTACACGCCTCATGATGCAGCTCCAAGCACCTCATTTGGCAGGGCTTATTTCTCAGTTTAATTGTGAAAAATATTAAAATGTCAAGAAGCTGCATCTCCTTCCACCGAATTCGCCCCAGTACCATTCCTTTGTACCACCCCATTCAATTGTTCTCCCTCAGCGGTGGCTCTCCCTTCAAATGCACGGAAAGGACGTGGATTCCTCCTCCCTCAATTGGCCTGTCCTGAGATGGATCAGGCTTACTGCCATCACAGCCCACCTCCCTCTTCACTTTTCTTTTCAGAGGTAATTTAATCCACAGCACCGATGTATTTCTGGTGCATTTTAAGCTAAAAATAGCCATGTTTCTGCTCATGCTTTCCCTTGCTTGGTTTTTCAGTCCACTGAGACCTGTTCCTTTGAAGCCCCAAACCTTTTGGCTCCTGTAGTCCCTGACCCCATCCTGGCCTACTCTGATGTTAAGGTAGGAGTGGGGAGTATCACTCTGAGAAATCAAGCATTAACCAAACAAAAACCATGCCACGCCAAATGTAAGAAAGAGCTCACGTTTGGAAGCTGGATTCAATTCCAGTACAATGAGTGTGTTTGAGCATTCAGTACTGAATTCCTTCGCCTCCTGATCCTTGGGAGCTTCTTCCAGGACAGAGTCACTTCCAGCAAGTGGAAGGTCATCTCCAGAAGAGTCTAGGGTCTTATCCTCTGGCACCTGTTCTGTGAATAAGTCCTCTTCAATAGAGTCATAATCTTCACTGGAACAGTCTTTTTCTTTTTTCTGTAGATTTACACTAAGCTCCAGGCTTTTTCTTAGTTCCTAACAGAATCCAAATAGATTAAAAAAAAAAAAAGTAGTACTCAGAGAACACCTCATTTGAAAATAATTAATTTTAGCCAAAGAAAATATTTCTACTGAAATAACATTAAAAACAAAACAAAACAAAACCACTATCACTACCAATCCTGTTCCCCCATCCTGATATTTTGTCATGCATAGGCTTAAAGAAAGAAAACAAGGAGCAGGGATAAATGGGCATTTCTCTACAGAAATGGGAGTAAGGGATGGAGGTGAGGTAGGCACTGAAATTGGTTTAATTTAATATTTTTATGTATAGAGCAAAATCTCCAGGAACGTAAATAACAAGCATGTTATATTCTCTTGAATTCAGTTAACCATGGCTATGGAAAACCTAGCTTTTCTGGGATGAGGCCTACTTCTGGCTATGTGTTCTTAGTCCTAAATGGCAGATTCCCCAACCTGCCAATGGAGTATACAGGAGAAAATAACAGCCTCTGAAACGCTAGCCTTGCACACCCAAATCTATAAAGCTAGAGCTGGCATTTAATAGCTGGCATTTCTGTATCACTTTTAAGATTTACAAAGCACTTTACATGCATTAAAAGGTCATAGCAAATCTTAAACTTTATTATCTCTGAGGTCACCAATTGCTTATGAGACATACTTTGAACCCATGCTGAAAGCCCACTAGTCTCATTTTTCATGCTCTCCCTCTCAGATCTTAATGGAACCATGAACTGGGGACATTTGGTCTCAAATGGATATGACTGTACCCCAAATACTGGATTCTTAGCTTTGAAGAGTTTTACATCCCCATATCTTTTTTTTTAAACTGTCACATTCTTTAAAGGAGTGACTGCTTTGGATTTTCCTTCTATTAATTGCCTTTCTAAGGGTTTATTCATGTCTACACTGTGCTAGAAGTCAATCTATCAGGTCTCTTACAATGAGGAAAACATCTCTGCCTAATGTGAAATCAGTATAGTTTATTTCTAATTGTTGGTCTATTGACTCAAAAATCATCATTTAGTTTTTAAACCAAGATGAAAAGGAAACTTTAATATGATTACCTGTATGAGCCAGACATCATTTGCTATCTCAATTCATAGAAACTGCTTTGCAAGATTTTTTTTTTAAATCTCATCTCAACTACATAGAATCAATGATTATTTCAATACTTCCCAGATCTTTAATTGGATGCATACAACAACCTCTCCATGCCTCCTTAGTCTAGCAGTTCTCAAACATTTTGGTCTCAGGTATCCTTTATGTTTTTAAAAATTATTGAGGATCTCAAAGAGCTCTTGTTTATGTAGGTAATATCTATTGATATTTACCATATTAGAAACTAAAACTGACAAAATTTTAAAATATTAGTTCATTTAAAATGACAATAATAAACCCATTCATTATACATTAATTTGAATAACATTTTAAGGAAAATAATTATATTTTCCAAAACAAAATAAAATTAGTGAAAAGAGTTGCAGTATTTTACACATTTTTGCATATCTTTTTAATGTGTTAATAGACAAGAACCAGATTCTTATATTTGCTTCGAGTTGAAGCATATGAAGAAAATCTGGCCTCATATAGATTTGTAATTGGAAAAAAGGATGGAGTGCATTAATAGGCAAATAATATCTTAATATTTATTATTATTATTATTATAAAAAAAAAGATTTGACCTTATGGACTCCCTGAAAGTATCTCAGGGACTGCTAGCATTTAAAGGCCACACTTCAAGAACACACTACCTTAGTAGACAGTCTTCTTCAGTTGCTACAGTGAAAAAAAATATTCATCAGCCAGTGGCCAATCTTAGGTCGATGAGTTTCCTTTTCACCTAGTGAGACTGGTCCTTACCCCACAGCTATGTAATTCCTTGTCAGGTCCATAACTCAACGCCTTTCTAAACTGGCAGGACCTACAAGGGCCCATGCTCCACAGGCAGAGCTGGGGTCTCCTCTATACCATGTTTAGAAACTGGGACAGGATATTAATGAAAGAATTTAATGTTTATTCAGCATGACTCATGTTAACTAATTAATTATTATTCTTGGCTTTGGGGCACACTTCCTTCAGGGAACATACCTTTGCTACTGATCCATGTTATCTGTGTGGAACCACAATGGCAATATTGAAAGTATTCTATGCGTTTGGGACCTCTATGTGTGCTGAAGTGCATGGCTGCCAGACTTCATCAGTTCATGGCCCCAGAGATAAGCAGCTGTTGACACAGGGAATAGGGAAAGAGAACAGAATGTCTTCCCCAACTTTTACTTGAAAGTGATAAAACTACCCTTGTCATCTACTATACTTTTTCAGTGTGAGGAATCAAAGGCTTGATAATGAAGAATGTTTCTGTACCTTGTCACAGATGGAGGTAGTTGGGGCCCAGCATTGTGCAAAGTCCCATTACTGGTTGCCTGATAGGTCTAGACTTAGAAATACCAGCCTCATTAAGGACCCATTCATTAAAATTAGCCCTTCCTCTTCTCCTCTCTACTCAACTCACATATAAACACCTCCAGTCTTACCACTGGGTAGCCCCTGCGACTGAAGCCATGGAAATTGTCCTGAAAACAACTCAGCACTTTTAGAAAAAGTTCTGGATTTAAAAGTGGAAAAAGGGAAGAAACTGTGAAAAACAAAAAGAGTTTAAAGAAACTGACCCAAGGGATAGACTCCCAAGCAGGGATATTTATAGGGTAAGCCTCATACCCAAGAATATTTTCTCCCATATTACCTGATTTTTTTCTTTCCTTTTTATTCTATTTAACTAAATTCTACATTTATTAAGTATCTACTATATCCAAGGCATCCTGCTAGGCACCAAGGAGAAAAAGACAAACATAAAACTCTCCCTACTCTCAGAGTGCTTACATTTCACTTGGAAGGCTATAACAGGTAAAGAGATAAGAATAAAATAAGACATAAAAGGGACCATTAAAACATTCACCTGGGCTAATCATTTTCCTCTTTGAGTACTACAAGGACTTCTTTGATTGTTAAGGGGCTTTAATTAAAGTTAGATGACTTTCCTTCTAGCTGCACAGAGGGAATGGGCATTTTGACTGGGGGCAAAGTATGTACTTTTGGCATTTGGAGCCCTTTGAAGGATAGAACAAATCAGGGTAGAGTGCCACAGTGGCAAGTTTAAGGAATATGAGGACTGGTCACTGAGGGCCTGAGGAGAGGACAGAAAGGGGGCCAAAGGCAAATTTTGCCTATTCGGCTCTGTTTCCAGGGTAGGAAAAAGAAAAGTTTCTGTTTCCTCCTACTCCCTCCCTGAGTTGCAGGCTTAGACTAGTGCTATGAGTCTCTGATAAGAAAAATCAGGAATGCAGGTCAGCTATGCTATGGGTTAAAAGTTGGCAGTATTTTGGAATAACTACTATTAAGAAAGCACAGATTATAGTCCTCATCCATGCTCTCTACCTTCTCTGGGGGTCTCTATTTTTCATGCTGTTTTTTTTCATGCATTATTTTTTTCAATGAAGTTCTCCACTGTGGATTAATTTAGGAAATTAATCCTACCTTAAGAATGGCCACTCTTTCATTTTTTAAAACAACATAAAACGCAATTGATAGACTGTCATCTTGGAGCATCTTTCCTCTGGGCAGTGCACCAAAAATATTTTCAACAACCTTTAGCAGGACAGCAATAAACCAGGCATTTTCTTTTCTCAGTAGGGCCTGTACTTTTATGGAGGAAAGACATTCAGAATAGCTTCTTGCTTGTGACCATTAGTTCCAAAGAATATAATGTTTAATAGAATCAGATAAATCTCTCACATGTTGCTTTAAGTCTTTTGATGTACTTGCTGGAGGCTTTTCTTTTGTTGTCATTAAATGCTGGTCTTATTACTTGCTTTTTACATTTTACCTGTGGCCAGTAAAGGACCTCATGTAGTGATTCAAATTATGGCCCAATTGTTTGAACAATCAAAGCGAAGTCTATGGTTCTTTCTTGGTCTACATTGGTATAATGCTGAAAAGAGATCTTACCATTACATCATGAATAGTTAAGAGTATCCTTTCTTTGTCTGCATCGCTGTGGGGGTCTGATTGTCCATGTGTATTCAGAAGGGAAAAATTAAAATCACAGGGAGTGCTGTTGGTGGGATAACTGGGATTCTAGAGACAAACACAAAGAACAGGGTGTGGTCAAAATTCTTCATTGTTTCTCAAGTTATAAAATATCTCCTGCATGGCAACTGATGGATGTTTCCTTGAAGAAGAGAATCTCAGAGCTGAAATGGACCTCCATGGCCATTAGCCCAACCTATATTTGATCAAGAATCTCCTCTACAACATATCCAGCAAATGGTCATTAAACCTTCGCTTGCAGATCTCTACTGAGAAGGAAGATGATACTTCCTGAGGCAGCCCACTGTCTTTTAGATAGCTCTAATTATTAGGAAGCTTTCCCTTCAATCATGTTTAAATCTGTTTTATATTTCGTTCAACTTCCATTTGTTCCTCTGAATTTTGCCCCTAATTTGATCCTCTTGCCTATGATAGTCTTTAAACTCCTTCAAGAGAATGGTCACATCCACCATCCACCGCAAGTCTTCTTTTCTTCAGGTTAAATGCATCCCCAGTCCCTTCAACTGCTCTTCATGTGGCCTAATCTTCCTATGCTTCGCCATCCTGGCTGTCCTCCTCCTCTTCAGCTTGTTAATGTGCTTCCTAAACTGGGGTTCCCCTGGAGATGAACACAGCACCCTAGATGTAGTATGGCCAGAACTGAACACAGCAGAGCCATTGCGTCCCCAGGCCTAAATATGAGGCAGACTACAACGGCAGTCATTTTTTGGCAGCCATATCACACTGCTGACTCATATTGAACTTTTAGTCCCTCAGGAGCAGGCTAAATTGACATAACTGAACTAAAAAGGCAACTGGAAAGCTAATTTCAAGTTTATTAATCCCACCTTCAGGGTGTTTAGCTAGTCAGGTGGAAACGTAAACCAAATTAATCTTTTCTCTTTCAAATTCATATTTGACGATATGTCAAATGACATATCATAGATTAGTGCAATAGCCTTCTAATTAGACTCAAGTTTCTCTCCACACCAGTCTGTCCTCCACAAAGATGCCAAAGCTATTTTCCTTAAACACAAGCTTGACCATGTCACTCCTTTATTCAATAAAAGCCAATGACTCCCTATTGCTTCTAGACTAAAATATAAATTCCTTATTTAGCTTTTTAACAATGTTTACAACCTGGTTCCAAACTAACTTTCTAGCCTTACTGGATATTACTCCCCTTCCCACACAACATGAGCCAATTAAACTGGACTTTTCTTTTTCCTCATACATACCAATCAATCTCCCATCTTCATGATTTTGCACTAGCTGTCTCCCATGCCTAGAATGTACTCCCTCCTCATCTCTGTCTTCCAGAATCTCTCTCTCCCTTTAAGATACAGCACCATGTTTTACATGAAGCCTTTCTTGACTCTCCCAGCTGCTAGTATGATCCTTCCCAAAATGTCTTGTACTTAATTACTTTGGACTGATTTATGTTATGTTATATTATATTATATTACATTATATTATTGAATTTTGCTCAGTAGGCAACAGAGAGCCACTATAGAGATTTTTTGAGCAAAGCAATGACCCACATCTATGAATAAAGAAGCTTCTTGCAGCTATATGAAGGATAGACTTGAAGGGGGAAAGTGAAGGCAGAAGATCTGTTAGGAGTCCTGGAGGGTGGAAATGAGGAGATGCCAGAAAGGTAGAATCAACAAGAGAAGGTGACTGATTGGATATGAGAGGTGAGGGAGAAGGGATCAAAAATAATACTAAGGTTTTGAATATGGAAGACTGGGTAAATGGTAAAACAGTTAGGTCCCAATTAGCACAAATAATGAATCCCATGATATGGTGGCATTATTCAAATTCACACTGCATGTTTTCATTGGGCTGGAAACAATGACCATATTTTATATAATTATAACTTTGAATAGTACAGATTTGAAGACGTGACCACTTCAGGAAATTCATTATTTGAACTAATCAAGACCACCACAGATTTATGGGTAAAGAGAGTATATTTCTTATCATACAGGTTGAATTTGAGGTGACAGTGGAACATGCAGGTGGTGATATTCTGTGGGCTGCCTATTAAAGACTCAGATCTGGAGTTCAGAAGAGAGGTCAGGATTGTCTATATAAGATTAAGAAGTTATCTGCACAGAGATGTGGGAGTATATGAGCCTGCTGAGAGAGAGAGAGCATGGAGAGAGAAGTGAAGAGGGCCAAGGACAGACCTTGGAGGAATATTCACATTTAGGGACTGGGAAAAACTTGACATCTGGTTTATTTTGAAAATGTCTAACTCTAAAAGGGTTCCAAAATGACTTTCCTACTTTTCAAAGTATCTTTAGGCTATTCAGTCTCTCAATAAGCATATGTCTTCATTTGAAAACAGTATGATCAACGGTACCCTGAACTTTACAAATAATCACTTTAAAGTAGAAAATAACATTCTGACTCAATTCCCTGGGAATGAACGTTGGGGTTGACTTTTCCTCCCTTAGTAGTGGAATTCCTTAGCCCTCCTGCACACTATTTACCACATTCTCTACCACAATCAGTTAGTATTGTTACATTTGTTACATGTGACAAGTGGGGTTAACTACTGACTCATGTTCATCTAGCACGTTAAAGCTTGCAAAGTACTTTGTATAGGTTATTCTCACAACCAACCTGTGAGATAAGTGCTGTTATTATCCTTATTTCACAGAAGAGGAAACTGAGGTTCAAAGAAATGAAGGGTTAAGGATTAAGAGATTAAGCAGGGGGGCAGCTAAGTGGCGCAGTGGATAGAGCACCGGCCCTGAAATAAGGAGGACCTGAGTTCAAATGTGAACTCAGACCAAACACTTGACACTTACTAGCTGTGTGACCCGGGGCAAGTCACTTAACCCCAACTGCCTTAAAAAAAAAAAGAGAGAGAGAGATTAAGCAGGAGGTCACACACAAGTCAGCTCATGAAGTGGGATTTCAATCCATGTATTCTTATCTCGAGTCCAGAGCTCTATCTGTGCAGGAACACTGATAGAGACTACTGTTACAGGACGGGAAGTGCTAGAAGTGATGACTGACGAGTCCAAGGAAATCCACCCTGGCTTAGAAACGCCAGGAATGGAATCTAGAGTAAATCTGATGCTATCATCTCTTTTCTTTTATGAATAATCCCAGATAATCAGATAATTAGAACAGCAATAACAGAGCAAACACTCCAGGGACTATCAATAAGCTCAAGTACATAACATAATTAATCGTCCACTTGCTTTTGCTTACATAGCTGGTAGGTGTGGAACCAAAGGAGGAAAGAAACGACATTCTATACAAAAGGATGGTCAGCATTCAGTAAAATATAAACAGAATGGCTAAGCAATTCAGACAAAGGCCTGGCACCCGGAAGGCTTCAGTTTTGTGTGAGGTACGGTATGGAGCACTGGACTTGGAGCTAAAGATGCCAAGTTTAAATCCTGGCTCTGCCACTTAATACTGATGTGAGCTTGATGATATCCTTCCTTTCTTTGGGCCTCAGCTTCTTCATCTCTGAACAGAGAAGATTAGACCAGATGACCTCTATGGTCACATCCAGGCCCAAGTCCATGATTTTGTGACCCATGAATCCTACATTCTCATAGAATCCTACAAATGGTAAGATCAGGTCTCAGCCCTGCATGTGACAGAAGAGGAGACAGAAGCCCCAGGCAGGGAAGGAACTCTTAATGAGGCAGCCAGTGTGTGGCAGGACAGAGTTTACAATCTACTTCTTCAGAATCCTACTTGTTCGTTCTTTACACCGTGTGACCCTGCCTCCTACTTAAGCTGGAGCTGCTTGGTTCTTAAGCCAGGATGCATTTTTGAACACCTGCAGACAAATGTTTATGTCTCAGTCTCTTCACCTTTGGAAGAAAGATAAGATTAGGTAGATGCATATCCTGTCCTGAAAATGCAAGATAGTATGGATCCAAAGAGTGTAAGCTGGGTCTTTGAGCTGTGAGATAGTTACTTAGTCAGTAAAGTATCTTTTCTTGACTAAGTAATAGATGCCATATTAAATAAGGTTCTACACATTATTAGCATCTCATCCAATTTTTACTGAGTATTTTGAGATTCTCAGATGAAACGTATATAAACTAAATATTAATTCAGTCTTGGAGAAAACCACTTGATCATATACTTGTAATGAATATATAAGGTTAACTCTAAATTGGGAGTGATTTTATTGGTTTGCCTGACTCCTACAAGAAGGAAGGGATACTAATAACACTTTTCTATGCCTTTAAATTAAATTAAAATATTTATTAACTAATTAAATTCAAAAAAATATTTATGAAGTGCTAATATGTAGAATCTCTGTCCACTAATGCAGACCTGAAACTCTTGGAAAAGCTTCCTGGGATCATCTGTAAGAGGCATGTTTGAACACAGGTCTTCCTGACTCTAAGGCCAACTCTTCAGTATTGGAATGCAAAGATAAAATAAGATACATCTCTGCCTTCAAGCGAGGCACCTAGGTGGCGAGTGGATAGAGTGCTGGGCCTTGAGTCAGGAAGATTCATCTTCCTGAGTTCAAATCTGGCCTCAGATACTTACTATCCAGGGCAAGTCACTTAGCCCTGTTGGCCTCAGTTTTCTCATCTGCAAAATGAGCTGGAGAAGGAAATGGTAAACCACTCCAGTTATCTTTATCAAGAAAACCTACAATGGAGTCATGAAGAGTCAGATATTACTGAAACAACTGAACAACAACTGCTTTCAAGTAGTTTATAATAGGTGGGATAAACTATCTATGCAAATATTTACAAAGAGATATGGAGTCCAAATGAAAATCTGGAGAAGGAAGAGATTATTTTCAGCTATGGGGAGTAAGATCAGATCAGGAAAGTCTTCATGAAAAAGATGGCACCAGAATTGGACACTGAAAGAAGACAGGGATTTCCACAGGAAGGATCCTTCCTTTCACAGGAGGATTTCCATAGGTAGAGATAAGGGTGGGAGGGAAGCAGCCCAGTTCAGGAATGGGTAAATGGTCCAAATGGTCCATGAGTAAAGGTTCAAATATGAATGGGGAACAATGGTTTATAGACTTTTATTCCACAGTC